ATACAGAAAATAAGAAATTTTAAATAGTTAATTTAATATTAATATCGATATATTTTTTTTTAAAATTTATATTTCATTCAAAATGAAAATATTATCTTTTTCTAAAACTACGTAAAACTGTATTATATCGATATAAAAAATGAATAAAATAAAATATTAAATCGAGATATATCTCGCTGCAATATGCGAGTAATCTTCTAGTATATATTTAAGAAAACGTAAAATGACAATATCAACCCTAACTTATGGAGCAACAATTAGTAGAGTTAGATTAAGTACCTGATGCAAAACAAAAATAAAAACATGACCATTAGTTTGTTGTAATTAAGATCCATCACAAAAAACATGTCGTCAAAAAACCAAAATTGGTCCGTCATAAAAATAGTGACGTTAAAAAAAAATAAACATCTTTAAACTAATCAAATTTTTATGACAACATATAGAACGATGATCTAGTGGGTCGTTTATTGGATCATTGGGCGTTTGTTTAATATGTTGCATCATATAAATAGATCAGATCGGATCTAGATTAATACCCGACTGACTGACTGACAAGCAGCCTACAACAGTGTGCATGTCAAATTAATTGATGGTCACAGTTGGATACTTACAGAAAGCATACTTCGCAAAGAGTTCCAGAGAGTTGGGAGGGGTTTGCCATGGACGACTTCACACTCAGCTTCCACACGAAGATTCTTATATCTCACCTCCACAGTGGGTAATTGCACACCAACTCTGGCAAACAGATGAAACTGTAAGATAACATCTCAATATATATATCAAACCTCAAATCCACATTTAAAGGAGGATCTAACTTTAGACGACAGTGGAGCTATTGCCCCTACTGAACAGAGTATTGAAACAGCAAGGGAATCTTACTTGTCTGTTCGTTTCCTAAGTTTCTGCAACAACTGAAGGTTGTCATTCTCGATGTGTTTGATGAGCTTCTCAATAAACATGTGTCGCTCAGGAGCAAGGAGTTTTGTGACATCAACCACCTTCTTTCCTTTAACATGTCCATTTTCTTCATCAAACAACGATGACCTCAAACGTTCAAATGTTGGCAATCTATCGATTGCAGCCCACTGTAGAAGATACTCGTCTGTCTCATCATGATTGTTAACAGAACGTATTTCTGAATTAGAATGCAAACTAGATGTATGAAGACGGAAAGATGATCTTAAACTTCTTCCTATATCTGACAGCTCAATTCTCAGGGACTCTATTTCTTCAGAACCAACTAGTTGAGCCATATTAATTGGTTTTGTACTTTCAGTGATACCAACATATGCACAGAGCAGTTTTACACACACATATTTTATGTATATAAGGGAAGTATGTTCCTTCAAATTAGTTAAGGTAATGCATCATGCCTTACGCATCAAAAAACTTGATAAATACTTCTTTAACGAAGACAAGATGCTTATTTAGTCTGAATAGATATATAGTCAACTGTCATGTTTTATGTAGAAAGAATAAACTACATATTTTTAAATTAAAATAAGTTAAAAAACCAAGATAGTTGACTTTCTTTGAATAGTTATATGTATCCCATAACAATTACAGACTTCCTGCAAATTTCATGCTTTTACCAAGCAAACTAACTCGGTAAATCACACCCAAAGGTCAGGTTTGGATAGGATCTACATAGACCTTGCCTCTACCCCAAAGGGTAGAGATGTTTTCGTGAACATCCCTGACTTGAAAATGAATATAATTTTGTACACCCATGGTGCTAAATGAACATGGGTGGTGTAATTAAACTGGCCAATCCATGGGTATACCATGAAGTTACATAGGGTTCAATTTTATAGTAGAGTCGTATGCAATGCATAAAAGATGCCCAGAAAGTCGAGGGAATGATTGGATAATAGACTTTCAGCAAATTTCATACTTGATGTGGAACTTTTTATTTAGCAAACCCTTTGTGTATGACCACTGACCATGTGAAAAAGCACATATAAGACGATATATTCTTGCTGGATTAAATAGTCTTTCTATTTTAACAAAATAACAAGATAGCAATCAGGCGAACAAGTCAACCATCATACGTTTAGGCTTCAAACATTTACATTGCTTGCTCCCTACTTCAATCAATTAGAGAGAAAAACAGGACATCAATTAAAAAAAGTTTCAGGAGCGAACAAGACAGCAAAGTTGAATTAGTCATACATGTGTCCAAGACTTTCTTCGTCAACACCATGAAGTAAGTCATGATCTCATTAAAACTATAACTTAAGGTGCCAATTGTATGATAATTAGAAATAAGTCGGTAAACCTCAACAAATCTATGACTGAAAACACAAACAAATAAAAGGGTGTGATATTGTCATCATTGAACACTTCAAAACCAATCTGGTTCCCAGAACAATTTCCACAGTTCTGAAAAGGTGATACATGCTTTCAGTTGCAGGCAGCATGATTCTGTACTCTGAAGTAAGTTTAGCATGCCCTTTATGAGAATGTGAGATTGTTGCTGAAGAGGCTATATAGAATTAAACTGGTGTCCAACTAAGCACAGATATATTCTTACTAAATTTTGCAGTATGCTACTTGCCATAATTAAATAGTATATCTGGTATGCAATATGATATAGACTACCCATACACATTAATCTAAGTTTGTTTTCTATTCCAATGTTGGTACCTTATAGAGTTCCAGGCATGGGGCATGGCTTCCACATAGGTACTAATTCCCAATCAAATAAATCATTTTTTTTTATTATTTTTTGAGTTGTTTTGACAAAATGCAAGGTGTTTTTTTCCTTCCCTAATCCAAATTTATCAATTTAGCCATCGGCAATTAAGATTAATTATGGTACTCAGTTATTTCAATTTGGTTAGACCAATGTGAACGGTCAATCTAATGTAGGATATTCCACCTTACAAGCTTTTTTTCATACGCCTTGTAGGCACATTCATAGTTTCCAAATTTAAGAACAAGCCCAATCGATGGTCTGCAACAAAAACGCAAATTTTATTTCATTATCTGATACTCATGGTAAGAAGATTATCAGTGTTCAAATCCAAAATTTCCAAATCCGATAAAGCAAGGTTGAAAAACAATGGTGGTGTACATGTGAAGGGCATGGTGTCAGTGTCACCTATCAAGCAATAGATTTAAAATCGAAATCTAAAATGCAGCTTTTTTTTATAGAGAGAGTATGAATAGTCCCACGACTGTTCGCCTTCATGATCCAGCCACCAGGATGCATCTCCAGATGGTACGTTACAGCAGAATATTGCATCTCCCACTCTTCCCATCATCTCCTGTGCCTGCAGATTAAAGCTAATCGGAATAAATATAAATGTCGATTTTTTTTCTGGTTAGGGTTTCGATTTTGCCGGCATGTGTCGCTGTGAAGCTTTGATATGATATTTGCTCCTTAAATTACGTATCTAACCGGTGGTAATAAATAATTTTTTGATAAGTCAATCCTACTACTTATCAAATTCAACTTATTAACAATTTATTTTTTTAACCCTTTTTTAATACCCTTTACCTTTTAACCCTTTTCAGTTTTTGATGCGAACTAGAGAAATCGAAATCTATGCCTCTCCTTCCTCAAGCGACCGACAATCGAACCTATGAAATCAGAGAAATCGAACCAAAAATCAAAATCAATTATCGACCTTCTTCTCCTCACATAACCGACATTCTTCCCCATGTATTTATGTGATTTCTCCTTGTACAATCGATCAATCTTGCTGTGGTTGTTAACGTAAATCGATTTATGTGTATTTCTGTGATTTCTATTTATGTAATTTCTCTTTAGAATCGATCGACAGTTGCTATGGTTTTTACAATCGATCAATCTAGTTTTTGTTTAGAAACATAATGAATATCAAAGGTTAGATATGGTGGCATGCATACGTATTGAACTCTTCTTCTAACAAAAAAAAAACCCCTCTAATTTCAATACCTGTAAGTAAGCAAAATATCAAGAAATCAAATGCTAACTTTGTTGATTAATATGGAATAATGCTCTTTTTGGTCATTTTACATGTATAACTAAAATTTATCAAACACTAATAAACAACTTATCAGCTTGTTGCATTTTGGTACCGTCATAAGCCAATCCAAACATTTATTATAAAACTTCGGTTTAACGCCACATAAATTAATAAACACTTTTACAAAAAAACATAAGTTGTTTTAAATAAGCAAATCCCAAACATTCCCTTAATACCATTTTACAGAAGAAGGACGAACGTATAGAAAATAAAACTTGTGTTTTCTGAACTTTTCTTTTAGACGTGGAGGAAGAGAGAGAAAAAACTAAAACCCTTTAAAAAGTTATTTAAATTATAAAACTATCTGACCTTCTTGTTATAAATTACATAATTTTAAAGGGTATATTCGTAAAAATGATATTTTTTTTCTTTGTCTCACTCTTAAAAAAATGAAAATTTATTCCTTCCTTTTCTTTCTCCTTCAAGAACAAAAATAAAAAATTATTTTGCTTTACTTTCTTTTCCCCATTTTTTTTCCTCCCCAAATTGAAGAACGCAGTGTTAGTGTAGTCTATGTAGAGATGAACCCAAATTAAGTGGTGGTCGAATTTGAATATAAAAAATAATCTATATTCAATATTAGGCTATGTTTGGTAAACTAATTAATAGTTGATAAGCTAACTGAAGAACAAATCATGTTTAGTAAAAATTAACTGACAAACATGTAAAATAACCAAAAAATGATATCTTGAAAAACTAGTCAATTACGATATTCATAATATAATTAAAACAAATCTCTAATAATATAATATGTTAGTTAATTTAAATAAGATATTAAATGAAAAAGTATATATGTATATATGTTAATTAAAAGAATTTAAGTTTTATTATTATATACATTATAAATTTTAGATTTGTTAAAACAAAAATTAAAAAATATATATACTAATTTATTTGCATCCGTCAATCTTACAGCTTGAGAAGCATGTGAAGGAACTTAGTGCTCAAGTACCTATCCCTCGTGATGATGGCAAAGAAGGGGAGATGAATATAAATAATGAAGCTGCTCAAGAACAACCAGCAGTTGCAGTCACAGATCCTATTGCCTACGAAGAAAATGTTGAAGCTCCTTCCTCTTCTTCGGAAGATGATGTTATTCTCATCATAAGCTCAACCTCAGTAGCACAACCATTTACTTCAGCATCAATTGTTGATGCTGACACTGTTGATTCAAACTCTCTCAGTGATTTGATGATGACCTTCTACTTATTGTATGTTTTAAGTTCTATTGTAATTTCAGTTTTAGCGATCGATATGCATATGAGTCTGTTCAATGATCATTGAACATATATGTACCCATTTTAGAGCTTAAGTATTTCAAATACAAACTCACATCAAAGAAACTTCAACAATATCAAAGAAATAGCTGAAGATAAAGATAGTCTACTCATGATTTGAAGCAGTGTTCAGTGATAACATGATTGTCTAAATTAAATGTGAAGTCTAACCAAGATATTAGTGATACCTGAACAAGTCCTCAGCGATTCCTTCAATGGTTGAATCAATATCTTGCACATCAAGATTGTTTTGTCTTATCCTCTTGTAAAAAAAAGTACATACCTTATTCAACAATGATATAGTACGGGTTACTTTCTTGTCTCCAAATCTGCTCACCAACTCTCTGGGGAAACTGTTCATATGCAGCCAAAAAGTTTGCAATATCTTATGGACAAGGACATGCATTCCACTCCTCTCTTGACACGTAGATTGTACCTTCTAAGATTTATTAATTTTATAGGGTATAAATAGATGAGAAGTCTCATTCTCATAGACACTTCTCACAGAACCATCTTCTATCTTTCTCATTTCTCTCTTATCTTCTTCTATGCAAAAAAAAGCTTTGTGATTCCTTAAATTGTTTAGATTAGCAATTTTCCTTTTCTTGTTCAGCAATAATCTATAAATTCTTGTATTGGTTCTTCCATAATCAATAAACACATTTAAAAAGTGAAAAAGTTGTGCTTGTATTCAACCCCCCCCCCCCCTCTTTCAAAAAATTGTTCAACTCTTTTGTAGAACCCTTTGGGACCAACAAACACCCTCATCGCTGATGACGATGATAAGGGTGATGATGAAGAAGATGATAAAGACGTTGATAATGATGTTGCAACAATCATTTATTGTAAGGATGGTTGGTGTGGATGGATCTATACCCTCAAAAGGTTAAAATGACAAGTAAATCATGCATGTATACATGGCTTACAAGTATCGTCCAAATCAAGTAATAATGGTAAGTAATACCATATATCGTTCTC